TAAGGCCCGGAAACTTAGTGAAGAGAAGAACTATGACGTCGGCGAGGTTGTCAAACTTTACCGGGGCCTGGAGCTCTTGGGACAGAACGACACCAGGTTTGACAAGAAGGCCCCTATGACGTCGTGGTACACGGGCGCCTTCGTTGATGGTGGAGTAGCAGGGATCAGATCGAATGTGAAGGCGTTCCCTTTTACAACAACCTACCTCACGGAGTTTGCCAAGTACCACTGCGGGGATGTGAAGTTTTCCGCGTTGGGCATCGCCAAGAATGCTCAGCTGGGCCTCCACCGGGATTCCCACAACTACAAGTTCTCTAAGAATCATGTACTACCACTACAACAGTTCGAACAAGGATCTTTATGGGTTCAAGATGAAGACCTTCGAGAACAAGAGTGTGTGACAAAGACCCTCCCCAACGGCAAGAACCTTCGAGGACGATGTTTGGATATGCAAAGGGGAAAAGTCGTCAGCTTCAGCCCCAGGCAATGGCATGAGGTTCAACCATGGCAAGGAGAAAGGCTCATGATGTTACTTTACACTCCGAGGGCCACAAAGCTGCAGTCTGAGAACGTGGATGCGTTGCAAAATGCTGGTTTCAATGTGGATCCCGAGTCCCTGGCGGCTGCTGAGGAAGAGGACAATGAAGGGGAGCCCGAAGATGATGGTTATTCGGTGTTTTCAGGGGCGAAGGTGAAAGTTATGGTTGCTGATACGGTCACCAAGTATGGGTATGCCTTTGTCGAGTGTGAGGACGATGAGTTCTTTCAGGACGACCATACAAAGTTTCGTGATCCACTACCAGATGAATCTTTGACTACGGAACAAAACGGTGTACAACTTCACGTCAAGAAGATGGTGAAGAAGGCTGAGGTCCAGTACACACCAAACATCGAACAGATTTTGGAGGAGATCGAAACAAAGGGAGGCTGCCTTGAAGTGACCCACACTGTGAGCCTTGCGGATGTGAAAGGCAACATATCAAAATGGAAACCTTCGGCTATGAAAGAGTTCAACAACCTCACCCAGTCCAAGGGAGCTTTCACTGTGAAGAAACGACATGAACTACCAGCAAACTGCAGAATTGTTCCTTGTAAGGGCGTCTACACCGTGAAGCCAGACAAATCCTCACCGGGCTACAGGAGGAAAACCAGATTTGTGGCATGTGGAAACCATGTACCCGAAGATGCAGCGTGTTTGGACTTGTTCGCCAGTGGACTTGATGCTACCTCATTGAGGACGATGTTGGCATTCAATGCCAGGAAACCGTGGCGCATTGGAACTACGGATGTGAGGCAGGCTTTCGTCTTGGCAGGATGGAAAGGAGATCCAGTTGCTCTAGAACCACCAGGAATTGCTTTCTCCTTAGGGCTGGCTGAGCCTGGAGACTACTGGTTTGTAGAAAAAGCTCTCTACGGCCTGAGAGAGTCCCCAGCCCTTTGGTCCATGTTTCGTGATGAACAGTTGCGAATGGCTAGATGGGAGATGACCTTGGAAGGGCAACCTACAACAATGAAAATAGAGCAGTTGGTATCCGACAACCAAGTTTGGAAAATTGTTCGGGAACAAGGAGGAGAAGAGATCTACGGCTATGTCCTGGTGTACATCGACGACCTCCTGATCCATGCACAGGGGGAGGCAATGCACGGTTTCTTCAAGTGGGTATCCTCTAAGTGGGAGGTTGATGATTTGGACGTTCTCGACTACGACCACCCGATAAGGTTCCTGGGAATGGAAATGCACCGACTTGCCAATGGGGTTGAGTTGGCTCAAGAGGGCTTTGTGAACGAGATCCTCCGGGCACACAACCACAAAGGGGGAAGGTCTCAATCCCAGGGACCAAAGGAGACCCTTCTTCTGAGTGATGAGGAGGAGAGGGCGTTGATCGAGGCGGAGCAGATCCCAGTGGACCAGAAAAGCCCGGCGGTCAAGGAAGCGCAAAGGAGAGTTGGAGAGCTCTTATGGTTAATGGGCCGTACGAGACCGGACATACAACACACGGTGTCTATAATGGCATCGAGGATTACAAGGTGTCCAGAAATGGTCAATCGAGTGGGCGAAAGGTTGCTTGACTACTTGAACGAGACGAAGTTCTACCGTTTGGGCCTTATGCAGGACGCCGAGGAGGTGATCCCGGAGCTACATGTCTACACGGACAGCTCGTTCGCGCCTAGCGGCGGACGGTCCCAAGGAGCGGCTGTGGTTTTTCTGGGCTCTAGTCCTTTGGTGTGGAGGGCAGGGAGGCAACAACTGGTCACCTTATCTACCGCGGAATCGGAGTTGTTGGAGACTGTGGAGGGAACTCAGTTGGGGCTTTCTACAAGAGGCCTTGTCACGGAGATCAGTGGCAAGGAGCTTCCAATCGTGGTTTGGGTTGACAACAGTGCAGCAGTCTCCCTCCTCACTACAAGCTCAGGTTCTTGGAGAACTCGGCACTTGAGGTTGAGAAGTAACTGGGTTCGTGAAATGGTGAACCGACTGGAGCTCTATGTGAAGTTCACTCCAGGAGAATTTCAGCGGGCAGATCTTGGAACCAAACCTTTTACAAGGGAGAGACTACGACAGTTGGTCAAAATGTGGGGAATGAAAGACAGAAGAGAACAAACTGATTCAAGGCAACAAAAGAAGATGGGTGTGGAAGCATCATGCCTGGGTCGACTTCTACTTCTTTGTCAAGTTTGTGGTTCGGCAGCTCAGAAACAGGACATCAAGGCCGAGGTTCCGTGGGACTTGTATTTGGTCATATTGGTCCTTGCTGTGGCTGTTATTGGTTTGTGGGAAGGGATAAAGCACTGCTGTGGCGAACGGGGAGCCAAAGTGAAGGCTCTTAGAGCGTCGGCTTCGCGGGCCTCCAAGGGCAAGTTGACTCGTATTGAGTTAAAGAAGTTGCAGTTGCTGATGACCTATGATCCAAAGGACCTTACCGAAGAGCAGAAAGAAAGGCTTTGCGACTTGAAGGAGAAGTTTGATGACACTATGCCAACGGGATGTTCTCCTGTACCTCGCTTCCCAACGGATGATCCTCTAGTGCCCTCAGGTACAGATCAATCTTCCTCCTCTTCGGCATCATCCTTTACGCCGGGGAGGAATAAGCAACCAAAGCCAAAGGAAACAAGGGATCAGTCCACTCAGGCTGATTACCAACCGGCCTTTACCAGAGTTCCTCCCGCACCACCACCCGTGAGAGAAGTCGTTGCGGGCCCATTCTACCAAGTACCGGGACGAGATCACTTACACGTTTTCCGTGAATGCTGGGGTCTGAGGAATGCCGGCAATGTTCAACGTGTGACGTTGTGCCGATGCTGCTTAGAGAATGGCGGCAATCGCATCTATTAGTGATGCATCCCTGGCGGTCGCACCAAGGAGGAGTGCAGAAAACTCTAGCCGCCTTCATGTATAGCAAGCTCTTGAGTGCCGGGAACCAGCTTAGCATGTGCAGAACGCTTTGTAGAACCGGTTGTGATGAATGTTCTGGCTCTAGTCTGTGAAGAAGTTCGAGGCGAGCGAACCAAGCAGCCTAGATGACCAAAGAGCCCAATATGGGCTATCAAGATAGCAGCTTATGCATAGGACAGACTGTCAGGCATGTGCTGTGGTCGCAAAAGTTAGGACTTCTTTCGTGCATGGTCTGTGGCGCAGCCTTCGTCTGCATAAGTCCCCGACCCAACAACGTGAAGTTTGTGATCGAAGAGAATCTTTACAGTAATAGCGGTGGTGGTGGTGGTGGTGGAGGTGGTGGTGGTGGTGGTGGTGGTGGAAGTAGTCGGAGTAGTGCAGTAGTAGCAGTACAGAAGCAGTAGCAGTGCGTTTACTGTGGCGCTTGGGATAGTGCCTTCTATGAGAAGTACGAGGTAGTCTACGTACACAGGCCCTCGATCTCGAGGTGACCCCATAGCAGCGGTAGAGACGATCGGCTCCGGTGGCGTCTGCTCCGCAGCTTGATCAGTCCATGATGTCCAGAGAGAGGACTGTTCAAGAAGGGGTGGCAATTGTTGCTGCTGCATCTGGGAGCGAGTACATAAAAAAACAGGCTTCCGAGCACGCGTAGTAGTAGTAGTAGTAGTAGTAGTAGTAGCAGTAGCAGTAGCAGTAGCACTAGCAGTAGCAGCAGCAGCAGCAGCAGTAGCAGTAGCAGTAGCAGTAGCAGTAGCAGTAGCAGTAGCAGTAGCAGTAGCAGTAGCAGTAGCAGTAGCAGCAACAGCAGTAGTAGTAGTAGAAGAAGAAGAAGTCGTAGCAGTAGTAGTTCGTAGCAGTAGTAGTAGTAGTAGTAGCAGCAGCAGCAGTAGTCGTAGTTGCAGCAGTAGTAGTAGTAGCAGCAGCAGTAGTAGTAGTAGTAGTAGTAGTAGTACTGGTAGTGGTAGTGGTAGTGGTAGGGGTAGTACACGTGGTAGTGGTAGTGGTAGTCGTAGTGGCAGTGGCAGTGGCAGAGCGGCAGCGGCAGTGGCAGAGGTAGTGGTAGAGATGTGGTAGAGGTAGTGGTAGTGGTAGGGGCAGGGGTAATTAGAGGGGTAGAGGGGTAGAGGGGTAGAGGGGTAGAGGGGTAGAGGGGTAGAGGGGTAGAGGGGTAGAGGGGTAGAGGGGTAGAGGGGTAGTGGTAGGGTTAGTGGTGGCGAGTTTTAGGCGAGGGAGGATGACGACACAAATTTCAACAAAACAGCCTCCTCTGGCACATGCCCTTGTCTCCAGATGTCGTTTGGAGGTGGGTACAATCGCATACAAGCTAGCCTGTTATAGCCTGTTGATGCCGGCCAGACGTTCAACAGCTTCTTATTGAAGGTTGTGTCCGGAATTCGGGGTTGGAACTTCAGCACCTAAGTCCTGATGACTGAGAAATTGAGCCAACCAGCGCCAGGCCGAGAGCAACTCCAATACTTTTGGATTCATGTTGTGACAGCTTGCACTTTGGAAGGGAGTCCTTTGCATCCCACAGCAGCCGAAAGCTCCAGAAAGCTGCACAAAAAGGAAGACATCCGAAGCGAAGGTCCGAATCCCTGCTGCGCAGGCAACAACGCGATCGACTTTTATCCTTCTTTTGTGGATGCATGGGCCACTGCCCTGGTCGTTGGGCAATCAATGCCGCCTGATTCCACAGCTTTTTACATGTTGCAGCTTTTGTTTTGAGACGCAATGCGCACCAACCATGGAGTTCTGCATCTCCCCAGCGTCCGAGCCCGAAGTGTCGTTGCGAGTGTGTGCTGTTGCAGCGTAAGAGAGTGCTTGAGGCTGGAGCTTGTTTGCGGTGGCGTGTCCCTGGGCAAAGCTAGCTTGCCGTCCGTCCGAATCCCTGGTCTGGAGCTGCAATCTTCAGCGTTTGTCAGTTTCAAACATGCCCAGTTCGGGGTGCCACAAACTCCGCAGCCGAACTTCCTCGCACGATTCTCAGATACTCTTGTTTCCATCGGAGGTTTTTACCTGCAACCATCTGTTCCTGTGCAGCGTCATTGTTGCTGCCGCATGAGATGTCCCAAGCATTGCCGGGTCAGCATCAAGCCCGATGCCCGTTTTGAGATTTTGGTTTGCAGAACAGTTAACCTCCCCTCCTAATGGCCGTCAGGCAAGTCATTGGATGGTAAAGTCGCCTTTGCATGCCCCGATACTAAATTGCTGAAGTCTGCACACTTGCACTGTGAGCCACCTCAAACTCGGAGCTGCTTTTGCCGAGTTCCGTGTAGGCTGCGGTAGGACCTCTGGTTTGCTGTTTTTTCAACAACACTCTTGAGCGAGGATCGACTGCCGTGTCTCTGCGGAATTTCTAAGGGGGCGCTGATTGGAGCGCAAACCACTACCCCGGCTCCGACCGCCGAGCAAACCCTCCAGCCTCCTCAGGCCAGCAGGGATTGATGAAGCTGATGCTGTGATGTGCATGCTCGCTTGACGCTGTGATGTGCATACTCAGGTGACGCTGACCCCTCCCACTGCGACAATTCAGTTCAAGGTCGGCATTGTGCTTTCGTTTCACTGACCGAATCTGTGCCACTACGGTTGATCAGGTGGCCGAGACTCCGCCTACCTCGTCCAACATGTTCTTGCAGCCGGCCATGGGTTCGGAGGTCTGACAGGGAACCACCACTAGGCAATTCCTGCAGTCTCTATGCACAGCAGAGCTGTTCACCAGAGGTTGGCATGATGTCTCAGACGACGTTTATTTGGACAGTTGCCGACACGCCTGCGAATGAGGCAAGGCATCGCTGATCATCCCTGTGCAAAAGCGCACGTTGCCGTGTCGGCTGCATTGCGAGGTGAAGTCGTTCGACCTGGTTCCTCTGCTGATGGTCGACGAGTCATCTCAGCTGCTTCAGGGCCAGGTCGCTATCCGACCAGTCGAGAAAACTCGCGAGAAAAGCTGAATTTCGAAAGGTTGTTCTTTCTCCTGTCAGGAGCTGCATACCTTGCGGAAAGTGGCTGACAAGTATTTGCTTCCAGTAGCTTCCGCGAAGGCCTTGCACGCGTGGCCCGCGAAGTCTGCGCGAGTGCGGTGCACAAGTCAGGAGACGATCACGGTCAAGTGTGAGCAGAGATCGGTTGGCAGCATTGCGGCACGCTCTTAGCAAGTTTCATTGAATTCTCAGAGAATGTGGACCTGGGACTCTGAATTGCAGAAGGCCGAAACATTACCATGCACCTTTGCTGCAGCCCTCGGCTTCAACAGCTGATGGCTAAGTTTCGTTGCAAGTGTGCAGTCAAGTCTCCACGCTCCGTACCTGCCAGCACCGACGTTCAGCACCGGAGAGATGGTCGTACTGCTGGTTCAATGGCCAGGGGCTTCTCGAGTATCAGAACTCGACTTCGTTTCAGATTGCTCTAAATGTCTGCACAGGTCCGACGGCGGTCTCACACACAAGATCTTTTCACCTGCAGTCCAGATTGGAATGGCCCGCAGGAGGGGTGGTCATGGCCTTGAGGAGGTGCTCTGAGGTTGTGCTGCACCCGGCTGGCAGGCGCCTGCAAGCCGGATCAGGACCTCCTGTGGCACTGCCGCAGCAGGCGGTCCCCGAAACATCTCAAAACGCTGTCTTGCTTTCCCTTCGGTTCTGTCTCCTTCAGGCAGCGGCGGGGTTGGCAAACACTACCAACGTGAACGGCACGCAGCCGGCGGTGGATTGTTCACACGAGGAGCTTTGAGAGTGCACGTTCGAGTCTTCTTCATGCTAGCCACTTGCACGTCGCCAGGATTTAAAGTTCAACTTTGGGCAGGGCATGGAGTTCAGGGTGGAGGCCGTCACTGCAGATGTGCATGACGGTAGACTGTAGATTTGGAGAAAAGTGAAGGGAAATTTTTGAGAGAGCGGTAAGGGCCCGCCATGCCCCATCCAACTGTACCAACCCTCCTGTCCCAACCTTCCCTTCCCCCCTACCCTGATCACCGAAATATACTCCTACAATTGCTCTACGCTGCCTTCCTTACCTACCTTACACCTAGATTCAAAAACAAGCAGTTCTACCGGATTCTAACGTGTACCCTGACACACCGTACGGAAGCGACATGCCGCCTTGGTCGCGTTTAGACAGCATGGTCACCATCGAAGAAGCGTCTCTTGGAAGTCATTTTGAGTTGTTTAGCCAGTGACAACGGATACAGGATCTTACTGAGAGAGAAACAAGCTGAAGTAATCAAGACGAAAGCAGCCTGCTGATGTCTTGCTGTGCTCGAGGCCGTCTATGCAGTTTCTGCGTATTGGCAAAAGCCAATCGAAGAACCATTCGGAATACCCATGACATTCAAGTGAGCACGGAATCAGTTGTTTCACTTGCCTGTTGCTTTGAGATATCAACGTTTGAGCAAAACAAGTCCATATAAGAACACATGAAGTATCCATATTTTCGAAGAGTGGATGGACTGATACTGACAAAGGTACAGGATGGATGATGCAAGCCGGTGATAAGCCACCTGCAGCAAGCCAGGTTATGAGCATGGGCGTCCCAAAGGTTCGAAGTGCCGCATTTTATCGCGGCTTTCTGCTTGTCAAATCAGCATGTCCAAGCGCCAGGATTTCCCCGAAATGTACACCAACCCCAACGCCGGCCCACTGTATGCAAGTCCTTGGGGTCTTGCCGGCATTTTGGGATAGGCAGCCCTTCTTGGTGGCATGGCATGGCTTTGAGCGTCAAATCCCTCCACGGTGCCAGCTGCGATGGAGGGCACAGCCCCTGCCATGGCAGCGGAGGAGACAAGCTTCCACATTGCACGCCGTCGACATGGCACAGCTGTACTGCCAGATCAAACAGCAAGGGTCGTTGATGCTTTCTGCAGGACTTTTTACCAGATGGAGCTTGCGACATGGGCTTCTGCGACACTCAGCTGCCTGGCTGTGGTCAGGCCTGACCAGAGACTTGGGTGCGCTAACGCAACACTTGTGGTGCGGTGATCCTCCGCCAGCTTCCTCCATGTTTGCAGAACGGCTTCAAGAAGCTGCACTTCCCGAAGCTAGTTTTCAACTTCAGCAGGCGAGAACAGGTTCGACTGATTCCTTCAATTGTCTCGCGAACTTTGCTTGCAGGGCCTTCCATTTTTCCGCAAACGAGACGACGCAGCAGCAAAGCTGTCCTGTTTTGGCTTGACACGTCTTGCAAAATAGTTTGCATTGAAAAATTTGTTGGCAGCCAGGCAGCACAACATGATGAAGGAAGCTATGGCATGGGCTTTCTCGGCGATGCCCGAGGCCCGCATTCTTCTGCCAAAAAGTTGAGGAACCAAGACAGCGACACGATTGGCATGTCGCAGGCTGTCACCGTCATGCTCCAGGAGCTGGAAGCACAAGAGAAGGCCGCGGCATTTGATCGGTATATCTTGTCATGTCTTTTGTGCAAGCCTGGTGCTTCGGTGAGTTATTGCGACTGTCTGTGCGAAGAGGAGACAGTGAGGCCTTTCGGAGCATAGGTTTAAACAGCTTTAACCCATAGAGCCTGACAGGCCGACAAGCCGAACCGTAGGGTCAAGCAAGCAAGCGACTGCAGCCATCGAGCAAGCAAGGGCTGTAGGTGTCATCCCTCCGGCTTGGCCAAGCAAACTGAGATTTTGTCATTGACCACTCGTGTACTTGGAAGTGGCACCCGGCAGGAGAAAAAGAAGCAGGCGGGATAGAGAGAGCCAACCTTGAACTGAAGCTTTGCGATTTGCATTCCTGACAGACGGCCGTTCCGAATTATGGCTTCGGCAACTACGGGAACGCTGGTCCGGTCAATCAGGGTGCTGGTCGGAGTCTCGTGCTGGTTGCATTAGGCGGCCTAAGCCTCACTTCGTGCTGGCATGCAGACGATGTCGTTTGAAGCAGTTCGCTGATATTCGTTAATGATATATCCCCCAAATCTGGGATTGCCAGTCTCAGACAGGTGTTGAGTGGCCGGACTTGTAGGAGCACCGGCAAACGGCTGGAGCTGCCGCTGGCACGTGTGCCGTCCAAACTCTAGGCGGCACGCACCGCCGTAGACGCATGCATGCCCTGTCTCAGTCTTCTTTTCCTACTCTATGTGTTGTTTTCCCCTAGTTTGTTTTGCAACCTTGGCCTGACCCCCTGCTTCGACCCCAGGGGACCCGCGGGCTCCACAGCACACCACACACCGCGGTCAGGGGCCCACTTGTCGTGAGCGTTTCCCCAAGTGCACTCTGGAATCTCGCCCCTACCCTTTGCTTCTCCCTATGGGACCTGGCCGCACCCAGCAGCAAACGACCAGCACTGCTTGTCCTGAAAATGCGTGGGATCCCTGCAGCAAACAAACTGGCCCACAAAAAGTGGGGGAACAGCCCGGTAAACAACTCACTTCGGGGCGATGCATACGAGCTGGACAAGGTTGGGACCTGTTGCTCAGGCATGCAGAACGACGTACTCCCCCAAAAGAGTCCAGCTCGTAACAACGCCCGAAAAGTCTCACAACAGACCGAACTTGGACACCCGGCGTAGCGCTGTGCGCAGGGGCGGGGGGGACCAACCCCAACGCTCCACACGCTGAGCAAGCAGAGAGCGAGACACAAAGGCAGCCTGAGCTGCCCCTGTGTTACAACTCTTTAACCTGAGGACCCCTTCGGGGGGATTGTACCATCCCGAGATTCGTAATGCGATTTGTAATCTGCCTGCGTTATGCAGTCAGCGCCTGTAAGGCACTCGATCCAACCGCCTGCCGCACTCAAAGCATGGGTGGCCTTAGGGGGGAACGGCTGAATTCGACCGGCTGTACTTTTGCCGCATCCCCTAAGAGCCCCAACTCGCACGTGCAAAGCTGACAGGTACGTGACAATGACAATTTGCCCTCTAATCTTTCTCAGTCGGTTTTTCCTGCAGGGATTGACACAGTCGCGAACCTAAATGCTACAAGCAAACAAGTTGCTCCCCAAAACCAACTTGCCCTCATGGGAGCGACCTGGAGTACAAGCTGTCTGCACAATCCGGGGGAGCAACAACACCTTTGTAAATTCAGGTGTCTATGAAAGATGACTTTGGACCGAACCAAAAAAATGCGTAATACATACTTTTGCCTTTTCGGTCGAACAAAGTCATCGAGCTCTCACTCCCCACATATCCACTCAAGGTAGTGGGTGGGCCGTTCCGCCTGGGGACGGTGACCCGTCCCTATACTCGGGAGAGAGGGAGAGAGAGAGAGAGAGAGAGAGTAGTAGCCATTTTGGCTCAAGTCGACCTGCCGCTTCCCTTCGGGGGGGCACTCGAGGGCGGCCCTCCGGGTTTGCTGTTGTTCGCAGCAAGCCTGTTGGGTGGACGTCCCTTCGAGTGGAGGGAGGCTTGAGTCCTTCGCCGAAGCCGCAGGTTTAAGTGGCCCACTCTTTTCCCCAACCCCATTGGTGCCGCCATCTGTGGGTGAGCGAGGGCGAGTACGTCAAGTTCGTGATAATAGGGGGAGACCGTGAATAATATCGGCGCAGCGCCCCGTACTTTGTCTTCGAGACCCTCAACTTCGTCATGGATGCAGAGGGGGGAACCCCCCAGGCTGGGAATATCATAGCGCCACAGTGCCAAAGGTGTCTACGGGGACCCAGCTACCACGGGGGCCACACCCGCAGTGCACCGAACTGTGTCCTCTTCGGGTGCACAGCTACGGATGCTGCAGAAGTCCAGCGGCACAGGCCGCTATAGCCAAGGCAGTGCAAGAAGCATTGCTACAACCTCAGGTCCCAGTGACTCGTCTGCCTGCAAGCTCCTCAACTGCCACGACAAGATCTGCGTCCTCCGCAACCACTTCCTTGAAGCCTCAGGTCGCTGGCAAGAAGCCCTTGTGCAAACGGTGCCTTTTGGGAAGTTCCAGCCACGCCAAACACAGGACTGACGCAGACAACTGCGTGTTGTTTGGAACCGAGGACCTCTCGCCTCCAGAGGTCAAGGCGTTGCTCCACAGCCAGGAGCTACAAGCTGCAGTGGAGGAAGCCCGCCACGAAAGAGAACTTCAGCAAGCCAGGGGGGAAACCCCAGGATGGACGCCCGAGGCTGCTGCTGCCGCCAATCCACAAGGGGGACCTCGGACTACCACATCGCCCTCGACCAGAGCCGCTACTACCAAGCCTAAGGGGGAAGATCGCCCCAAAGCCAGGAAGAAACACGACGAAGAAGAGGAGACCCTGCAACTACCACGTAGAGCTCCACCTAATTTGCAGGACCTTGGTCTTCGACTACGACTTCACAACAAGGCAAAGCAAAAATGGGACAATCGCAACATCCTACCTCATGAACACCGGGGAGTACGTGGAAGTGCGTGGAGAAACTCGAGAAAAGCTTTCGCGAAAAGATGCTGCAGACTATGAGACTTACGTAGACGAGGAGAACAAGAACCGCAAAATCAAGAATGATGCGCATCACCTGCTCGAGCTGACGATTCGGAACAAGCCTGCTAGCGCTTCCCAACTGCGAGAACACATTGAATCAAATCCGGGGGCGATCCCCAGACTTTTGGCGAAAGCAAGAACACACTGGACGATCGGAACCCAAGATGACCCTGACACACGTGGTATTCTTGACGAGATCATGGCATCGGATGCTCCGTCACAGGCACTAGCAGCTCCCGCTCCTCGTGCTCCTGCTGCTCGCGTCGCCGGACCAGCTCCTCCCCGACTACCCGTACGCGAACAGGCTCCTCTTGCACAGCTGCCTGCCCGCCAAGGGGACGGCGCCTCTGACACGAAGATAGAGGGGCCACCTCTGGAACCAAACCGGACGACACCGCCGGCGCCAACCAGTGTCCGTAAGGGACCCAATGTACCTCCACCGGAATGTGCCAAGGTCCGGACCGATGTAGCCCAGATGAATCCCCGTGTTGCCACTTCAGCAGGAGAAGCCGTGCCAACTACGCCTGCCTTACCAAGCGAAGCAGATCCAGTACCAGTACTACGTCTATCTCCTCCTCCTCCACCACGTCGTGCACTTCAACAACGGACTGAAGAAGAGGAAGTCCCCGAGGGGGGCTACCCCAGCACAGGTCAGACGGCACCCCCCGTTCCGGAAGGTGAGCCATCCCAGCTTACAGCACAACAACGAGATCGGCTGCATCAACTACTGCAGCAAGGATTTGAGGTCGGGGGAGTTCATATCGAACCCCAGGACAATGATGACCTGACCTGGCGAGCCTACCGCAAAGCCCAGAAGGAACAGTACAGAGCCATGCGGAAGGAAGCGCGACGAAAACACGAATGGAAAGGTGACAACAAGCGCTGTGCTAAAAGGTGGCGTGAAAGTTGAAGTGCCTGTTGCCGGGGATGAGACCTGTTTCTCTTCAGCGAGTTCTACCGCTTCGACCCGGTGAGGGGGCCCTGAGCCACGTAGCCATGCGGCCTTGGTAGTTTTTAGGGATTTTCCCTTGAGTAGAATGGCAGGATGCTGTGAAAAGGGGACGCCCCCGTGATGAGGTCGACCATCTGTCCTTCTTTGTCTGTTTGCTGCTGGTTTTGAGCACAGTAGCCTCCCTAACTGCTGAGCGCTGACTTGCACGTCATGGGTTTGCACCTTGTTGAAGCTAACAGGTGTCATGCCCTTTTGCCAAACTTGAGTTCCGTACAGAGTTTTCTTCTCCTTTCAATCCGTACCGCAACTTTGTACCATACATTGCTTACTAATCCTGACGGGCCGCCGGAGCCTCCAAGCACCTCTTTCCTTGCCTCCTACATGAGGCCTACTAATTCAGTCAACGCTCTTTTTTCGATAATTGCCAACCGGCTGAAGTCCAGCCTGTAATCTTTCTCGTTGGCCCCTTGGCACCCGCAACAGTCGGGGGCGCACTAGCGCGCGGTGAAGGGGGAAACCCCATCACCCTAACCCTGGCGAAAGAAAGAGAGAGAGAGAGAGAGAGAGAGAGAGAGACGTAGCCATGTTGGCTCAAGGTGCTTACATCGACTACGCCGACTACGACGTCCTCACTGTGCCCACGGGACCGGACCCCCCTCCTCTCCGTCAAGTCTAACTAGTCTCAGGGGGGGGCGCCTTGAGCCATCGCGAGCGCACTGTAAAGTTCGTGACACTACATCCACGACACAGAAGGGGGGACTGCAAAGGTCTGGACGACCGATCTTTTCGCACGCTCATTTACCAGTTCGAGGGGGTTTTGAGGGTTCTGCAACGTTGTTCCCTGCGTGCCGCAAGACTGGACGGGGGAAAACCTGACCTACCTGTCCGTGAAAGTGGCAACAAGGGCGAGACCGGCATCATCACCCACCTTGGTTTGGTGCCGCTACCATGGAAGGGGAGATTTCTCGAGTGTGCCGCCAGGGACGGGGAAGATGTATCAGATGTATCCCCGGTATGCGTAAGACGCATGTGAGAACAGATCCGCGCTGCAGACTACACGGGGAAACAGCCCGACACCCCGCCACCCACAACAGCAGAGAACTCCAAGGGAATCGTGATGGACCATCCTGGCGAGCTTTACTTGATGAGTTTACAGCAAACCACTTCACCTGGATCACACGTCCTCTTCTGGCGCAGTCAGCTCCTTACTACGATGTCCTGCTAGGCCGCTGCTATACCGACATGGAGGTTGAACAGGTGCAGAGAGTTCAAGAAGCGTCCATGCAACAAGACGTGCGGGGGAAGAGGCCCGCCAACTTCTGCGGTACTACTGCGCGCATGGTCGCCACCCCAGAAAGTTGTTCATGAACCTCGCCTACGACGTTCACTCCGTCGACGTCTTACTTGAAGAAGCCCGCGATGGGTGGGGGGACCCGCCAGTGGATCGGAAGACGAAGGTGATGAGTCAAATGGCGTGCTGGAGCGCCGGAGAGAAAAGGGGAATGAACCTCCACAGTCGCCCCGCTCTGCGCCGAGTACGCCACCCACAGCTGACAACATTGGACTCGAACTGGAAGTTGACACCTGGCGGGGAAGGCTTGTTCTCCCCTTGCTTGAAGGAGAGAGCAAACCAACCCCAGAGGCAGTGAACAGAGCCCAAGCCCCTGTTACGCCGGAGTGGCCTGCTAACAGGGGGAAGCCGCGCTCACCTTTACCACACCGACGACAGTTACGGACTCCGTCAAACCAAGGACGACCCAGCTCTGCAAGTGCAAACCGGGACATGGCCCCCGACCCCAGCGTATACGGGGGACGTCTGAAAAAGGCATGGAAGGTGGCAAGCAAGCTACACTACAGAGAGCAGAGGAAACGGCAAAGGAAACGGGGAGACTCACCTCGTGCTCGAAAGCGTGCCCGAGAAGGTCAAAGAGCCGAACCCTCAAGTGACAGATGGGGGGACCACTGAGCCGCGAGAAAAAATTTGTGCACAGAACTGAGACCGAGGGATTTTTGATGCTGTCTTGAGGTGTGAGAGCTTGTGTTTATGGGTGGTGGTTTAGGTTCTAAGGCTTCTTCTCTCCACTCAGTTCGCCGACCGCCCCATAGTCGGAGGGGCCTGCAACCCGAGCAACCCGAACAACCTTTTCAAGGGCAGCCTGAGCTGCCACTGTGTTAGAACTCTTGAACTTGAGGACCGCTTCGGGGATTCTACCATTCCGAGATTTGTAAGGCGATTTGTAATCTGCCTGCGTTATGCAGTCAGCGCCTGTAAAGCACTCGATCCAACCGCCTGCCACACTCAAAGCATGGGTGGCCTTAGGGGGGGACGGCTAAATTCGACCGGCTGTACTTTTGCCGCATCCCTTATAATAGCCCCAACTCCCACGAGAAACGCAGACAGGTACGTGACAAAAACACTGGTCCCCCTAACCTCTCTTTTTGCTGAAGTTAGTTTTTCCTACTGGGATTGACACAGTCGCGAACCTAAATGCTACATGCAAAGCAGTTGCTCCCCAAAACCACCCTGCCCTCGTGGGGCGACCTGGAGTACAAGCTGTCTGCTCAATCCGGGGGAGCAACAACACCTTTGCAAATTCACATGTTTATGAATTTATGAAAGATGACTTTGGACCGAAACCCAATATGCCGTAATACATACTCTTGCCTTTTCGGTCGAACAAAGTCATCGAGCTCTCACTCCCCACAGATCCACTCAAGGTAGTGGGTGGGCCGCTCGGCCTGGGACGCTGGCCCGTCCCTATACCTGGGAGAGAGAGAGAGAGAGAGACACACAAAACAAATGCAGACATACAACTCCCTGTTGAAGTCATGTCTGTATGGAGTGTCGAACCCTGAAAACACAATGCTATTAAATATACTTAACTAAATGATCAGGGGGAAACACTCACAACTTCTCACGCTTCTCCAAAAGCCCCACGAACAACGCGGGGGCCTTCAAGGCCGAGGGGCTTCAGACACCCCTCATGCCCCTGAGAAAAAGAGAGCGAGACAGATTCCGCCAAACAGGTGAGTAGCTGTACCATAGTAACCGAGCTCAGGGGCCCAAACTGTATGAAGCTACACGAGCAAGGTATAGAATCGTTCAGCTGTCCGCAGCCACAAAGCCCTCGCTCTGGCACCCGCAAAGAGCCCCGAGAGTAGGGGACCAAAGGCGGTTGTAGCAGGAAAGGAGTGGGGGTCGACACGAGCGAGCTGGACAAGGCGGGGGTCAATACATGCATGAGCCTAGCTTGCTGATTTAGGGGGGCTCAACTTGATCCAGTTCGACTCAAAAACTCACGCAAAGCGCTGGCGCGCAGGGTTGGAGGGGTTACCCTCTAGCCGCCTAGCCCAAACGTCGTGCAAGCAAGCAAGCAAGAGAGACACAGAGACATGATGACGATGATGATGTTCATTTTGGTGATCGATGATGATGGTGGTGTTCATGGTGATGATGCTGTTGATGCTGATGGTGATCATGATGATGATCATCATCATCGTCATCAAAATTGTCATCAGAATCAGTGAGATATTCGTGCTCATCTACACGTCTCTCATCTTTGCTACTGGTGGCTCCCTTTCAATTTTGGCTATCATGCCCATCAGGCTTCCGGTGATTGTCATCTCCATTATCATTCATCCTCGCCGTCATCATCATCATCATCTTCATTGATTGTCGTCATCAGCGAGACTCACTGTCATCATCGCAATCATACTCGTCTTCATGATTCCTCGGAATTGTCTGCCAGCGAGACTCACTCTTGCTCAGCCGATAGCATCACGCTGCCTTTCTAAGAGAAGGTCAGCCGGGCCAGCCAAACTGGTTCAGTGCACCCTCGCAGACCAGTGCGATTGCCAACACCCAGCAGGCGTGATTCAATTATGTGACAGTTGCTTGAGATCAACCTCGCATGTGTCATTCATGCACTCGGCACAGATGCCGAGCGCTTTTGGAAAATGGTGGAACACTCAAAGAAGGCGCGATTTTCATGCGGTTAGTCGCGCAGTATAGTATAGCAATGCCAGACGGAGGTTGCGAGAGCGACCACAACGTGGCATCGACCAAGCCATTCCCTCATGCACGATGTTCTGAGACAGATTCATGGTCCGACTGACTGAGCCTCCTGTGTATGCCTGTGAGACGGAGTCACTGCCCCCGGCGGACACGACAGGACGGAGTTTCTAGCTTAGGAAGTCGCATGCCATGTTGAGGACGGAAACGCGGTGGACATGCCAACGAAGCTGCTTTCGCACCAGGTGGTCCGTGGAATGACCAGTTTCTTCGTTCAGCAATGACAGCCAATTGCCAGGTTCAGGTGGAGTTCAGCGAGGGACTTCCCTATGCCGTCAGCCATGAGCTGTTAAGCAGGATGGTGCGTGGGCGCTCGGTCCTCAAATATTACTCTATGGGGAGACCATCGGATCAAGCTCAGAGGGCAGATCGGCTTTGCAACATGGAAGCTTGGTATTTGGCCGGTTGTCGTTGAACCGAAAGTTTTGGTGGCTGAATGCACGCTTGTTTTTGCAAGGCATGTTCCAAGTTGATGATGGCTCGAACAACAAGCTGGGCAAGCTGCAGATTACCGGGCTGGGGGCTCGAAGACTATCGAAGACCGAAGAGTTCTTGTCCCAATCTGTCCAAGTGCCGGCACGCTGGGAATGCGCTCTTGTGCATTCCAGGTTTTACCTTCAAGACATGGGTACCGGAAGCATACCTCCGCGCGATGGTGCAACACCTCCATTCGCAGGACTGCTCTGCACACGGTGGCATTGGTTAGCTTAGCTACTCTTCATACGTCCGGAGTGCCATCTTGGACAGCCTCGCTACTGTTGAACTCGAGGCGGCTCCCCTGCCATGTATGGTCTTATTGCTTCGGACTCAGTCGTTGAAATCGTTAGACTTCAGGGCACCTGTGCATGCCGGAAGGTATTTGTAATGGTGGCTCTCGGTACTGCGACGGCGGTAAGCTTGCAGATTTCAGCCAGCAATGGCAGCAGCTCTGGGTGAACGCAGGTACTTCTCGCTCTTCGTGGAAAGAGCTCGAGCGGTGTGTCCTTGCATGTTGCTGCAGAGTTGCACGGCGGCTTGCCGTGCCTGACTGGCACATGCCGCCGTGTGGTTCTGCGTCTTACTTCTTCATTGCCAACAGGCTATCTGCTCCAGACCGCTGACGAAGAAGGCCACTACAACCTTACATTCCTCGTGGTTGTCAGCATGTTTGGGCATAGAATGGGAAGCTCGACCTCCCGATTGGGAGTTGTGTCGCTCAAACTCAGCGTTGTACGGAGTGCTTGACTCTGACTTGGCAGATTGCGTCCTCGCGCTGTGAAGGTCTGGAATAAGATGCTCTTGGTACCGTGTGGCAACGGCCTCGGTGGGGAAGCTTCAGCCATGCAATAAGTTGCTCAGCGGATCCTGCTCGCAAGCAACTGAGGTTTGGCCACAAATTCGCTGTGCAACATGCGTGGAGCTTGAACGAGGGTAGGTTCCGAGACTATTTCGGCACAGGAGTGCAGAGCTAAGGTTTCACTTCATTGCCGGCTCGGTACAGCTGAGCAGTCCTGCAGCTGAAGATTGCAGGGCCTGGCATGACGGCAGAGCCACGCGAGCAGTTGTACGAGCTTATGTTGGTTCCACTCCTAAGGATCCTGGGGTCCCCCACATTTGGCCGCTCTCCCTCGTAGCGCCAACTTGCCAGGGAGTTAAATTCTGGCAGTGGAAGGCACACTAGCAAGAGTTTCCCAACTTTGGTGCTCGTGTCCGTGCCTTCATGAGAGAAGCCGAAGTGCTCAGCCAATTACGTCACTTCCGCTATGCGTGGCGAAACTGGCGTCGTTTCAGATGTAGTCCTGCTCTTCTGTTCGCAGCTCGCTTGATGTCAGCAGCATCGCAGGTTGCATATCTTCAATGAAGATTGAGTGACCTGTCCAGGTGCAATCTTCCATTGAGAACGCAATGCTTGCATCTACCTCCTTAAGGCCGTCGCTTCCAAACGTGGGTGAACTTCCTCGGAAAGCTTCGATAGGGAAGTCCCCTGGTAGGACTTTGGAACTAACAACGTCACAGAAGCTGGCGTTCGAGCCCCGCCATGCGTTGTCGGCAGCTGCTTCGGGTTTCGGAGGGCAGCACAGTCACCCCAAAACAACTGCAGGGATCGCGCGGTGACATATCTCCTCGAGCTGCGAGCTGAGCGTAACGTGAGATTGATTTTGTCTTATTACAAAGTGCCCGAGGCACTGTCCCAATTTGTCGTTTCTTGACGTGGGACACTGCTCGGACCTCAGTGAGTTCGGGCCGTGGCGGTGTGCGTGGTCTTGAGTCCGATGTCATCAACATTGGCTGCATCATGCTGCATCACGCCACTTGCACCGCTCGGTCAGCGGGCGCCCTGCTTGCCTCTGTCTCGGTCGGGCCCCCTCCCGCTCCGCTGATGCAAGAAGAGATAACAAGAGCGTGAAGGCCTGCATGGCAAGCGGTTCACTTGTGGGAGATTGTTACTCGTGGCAACTTGGTCCTGGCGAGCTCCGGCATTTTTCCAGTTCGAACGAGTGCAGACCGCGTTTGACCTCACGACATATTCGGCCTTCAGGACCCGGCCGGGAGGATCCCAGCCGCCATTGGAGCACCACCGAGGTTCACGTAAGCCACAACAACGCAGAAGCAGTCCATGCCTTTGCTTTGTGTGTTTGTTCTCGTGGTGCCCGGAACAACAGCAAACCGAGGCCAATCTGGAAGAGCCATGATTGGTGCATAGTGACAGCCACTCCGAATGTATGATCGATGACTGTGACGAATCGGCAAATGTTGCATGGCATGCGCAAGCGGTGCTTGCACTCCGATTAACCCGATACTTTGGTTAAAACTTGACGACATCGCTATCTCCCCTCGGGTCTGGAGCTGGAGGCGGCCGCTTCAAATAAAGCTCCTTTAAAGCGAGTGCAAGTTACCCGGACCATTGCTGCTCCGTTGACGCGATGGGCCGCAATTTGTTTCAAGAGTATACAGCAGGCGAGATAGGCGAGCTGAGATACATGAGCTTGGATTTACATACTCTTCGCCCTTGTGATTCGACCTCGCGTTGTGTGGTTCTTCTGGTGCGGCCTTGAGCCCTGGCGGGCCCTGGCGTGCGTCCACCCAACACAGATGATTTGGCTCTCATGTGAGCTGAAGGCTTCGCCTAGGGCCTTGGATGTGCAGTTTGATCTGCAGCCCGGCGAGACCACTGAACTCAACGCTTGCCTGTAGTCACGGAGGTCACGCCCACAGATTGGTTTGACAAGGAGCCCGAGAGACACTGTAGGACTATTCGACAAATGCGTCATCATGCAATGCTAGAGGTAGGAAATAAAGACAAAGCCACAAGCACGACACGCCACAATGTGGCACAACGCACCGCAATGCCAAGGCTGTCAACTGGTGGAGCCAAAGCTAGCACATCCCGGGCTGGAAACTGTGCTGCGCTTGGGTCAGACTTCAGTTTCCATGTTCGACGTCCGGACTTCGCCGACATGCAGCCACCCTTCTCAGCATCGAGACTCAGATCCTTCTCAGCTTCTGCGTGAACTTGAGAGAGTCCGCTGTGGCCGGCCTCTTCGAGAACTGCCCATCATTGAGGCTTCCATGAATCCGTGGCAGATCCCTGTTGTTTTGCATCCTCCGACACCTGCAGGTATGTCGAAATTGCTGTGTGCATGTTCGACATGACCAAGTTTCAACGAACGTCGGAGACTTGGCTGTTGGCTCGTCCCTCATTCGTGATGTTTTCTGTGTGCGGAGCTTTCGTCACAGGTGTCGCCCCGAGTGCACAATTGTGGTGAACTTCGATTTCTGAAAAAAAGGAAGCATGCTTAATAGGGCTCTCAAAACTGTCGCATGGCCGCATGTTTATGGGTGAGACTAGTTCTTCCTGTCCGGCCGGGTGCCTTCGTGTGATGGAGATGAAACCCGCTTCTGGCTTCGAGCGTACGGGGTAAATTCGAATCACAGCATTCCCTAGTCCTTGCATCTCCCGGGAAACAGAGGCATAGTCAATGAGGACAGCGATGATAGCCGGGACAGGCTTTAGAGGTTGGGGTGTTACATAAATCCTAAGTCTTACCAACACAGAGAGACCCCAATACCTAGAATAGACCTAAAGCTATCGAGGGCATCTGACTGTGGTTTAGGGCAGCTGGGGATCTCCGCGAAGGCCTTACGTATTAATCCTAGTAGCAGGACTGGCAGAAGTCGTAGTAGTAGTTCTGAATCCGAAGCTTGTGGCGTTACAGCTAAGACGCCAGATTCGATTCTGCTTCAGCAGCAGGGAGCCTGCGCGGTGCTGTTGCGGCGCCGAAGTGACGGCTTACTTAGCATGTTGACGGCCGCTGGTGGCTCATGCAGCACATGTAGCTCACATTGTCGACAAAGATCTGACCTTTCACATGTTATCTATGTATGACAAACGGGCGATGCCCTATGTTCATGCTGACGCCTGCAGTCCTAGCAAATCATCCTTGGTCCTTTGTGTTGAACGGACGTACATCTGGGGATGTGCCATCGCTTCAGGGTCCTGCAGCAGGTGGAAACCTGGGCGTGCCTTGGTTCAGGGTTTAAGGTTTTGCTTTCTCGTGTTGTAGTGGATACTGCGCTCACCGAGGTGAAGATTGAATGTTATTTTTGTCCATCGTTGCATGCGTTCTACCACCTTACAAAATCGTTGCGCAACTTGACTGTATGATGTAGACACCACAAATTTGGCATAGTTTACGTTGCCTTGCCATGCAGCCGGATTTTGTCTCGATGGAGGTGCGCCCGGCAGTCAGGGTGTCCAGGACAACCTCTCCATACATTGCCTTTCTGTGCAAAAACCTAGTTGTACTTAAAGGGCCTACCACACAAAAGTCGCATGCTGAGCTAAGTGCTGCTGCCTGTAACATATGTGAATCTGAAATGAAGCCGTGGCACACTGCATTGCTTGGTATTCTATAACACTTGGGAGCACACATCAGCGAACTGCTTGAGCTCTGCGCCCAAACCCTGCCAGGGAGTGTTGAGAGTCTGCTTCATTAGCAGGTTCCGAAGACATATCATAGTTCCCCTTTCTGGTATGGAGGCAAGCACGTCACTAGCACAAGCGTTGTAGAGACAAATGTCACCCAGCAACTTGTAAGCATCAGCATGACTCATGGCTAAATCCAGATTCTTTGGAGAAGGTTGGTGAATTTGCCCTTGAAATGGCCCGCTGGAAGGAGAGCAACCATCTGGAGGCGGCTTGCGCATCATTTGTCGTAGTCACGAGGGTGCCTGTTTCTGGCAGGCAGCGAGCCTCGAAGAAGCGTTTGAGCCGTGGATGTACAAACTCTTTGAGCCGCTGTTATGCAAACTATGACTCATAGTGAGCACAGGAACGGCTAAGAAGGTCAACGTGAAAGCATGCTCGGCTCACAGCAACATGAGGCATTGCAGGGCCGCAATCCCAGAAGTCATACAACTATGAGCACAGGAGCAAGATGGTGAGCGTCAGAGATTCCCGACTCACAACAACATGAGACTCCGCTGGACATATCCTTACACTGACACTTGAGAAGTTGAAGCCTGGGGTCCAATGGAAATTGATTCAATTGCCCGGTTTCATCATGACGCAGTTTGAGTCTTTCGATGCACTTGCTGACAGACCTCAAGAATGTCATGATTCGGTTGCTTGCCGACAGTCAATTCTGATTCCAGACCTTTCCTGCACATCAAAACGCGGATCAGCAGAGCATCCCTTTTCAAATCCCTCTCATGCCCCGTGCTCACGTTGACGTTTGGCTGACGTGGTCCTTAGGCCCTGGGACGACCGAAGACAAGTCTTCTTGGAGCAGGCGCGCGAAGACGTAGGCTGCGGAGCCGATGGGTGCTTCATGCCATAGCTCTGACACTGCAGGTGGCTGAGCCTCCTGAAGGAGTGACCCGGATGAACCAGACGCAGTGCAAACCTTTCGGTCGCGTGCTCTTTGAACCAATCAATCAGGTAGAGCCATGGATGCACAAGATCTTTCGGCCTCCTTGCAGCAACCAGCAGGGCCCCCCTGCTAGCTAGCGAACCCAAGCTGGTCCTTCTAAGGTCGACGCGATTTCAAGGCGCGCGTTGCAGAGATTGCTTGGGATGATGGCCGTCAAACCACTTAGCATCGCTAATCTAAGCTGCCCAACGTTGCGACACAGGCATATGTGCCCCGCCGAAGCTGGAAGTTAAGGACCATGAAGTGCGCGGAACCGCCGCAATTTTCATCAAGTCGACTCTCGGACACGGCAGGCGCCGGTGAAGGTCTTTGACTTCATGCTGGGGCCCCAGATCGACAAGTTGGTGCGTGATGCATTCATGCAGTATCCTTTATATCCTTTCATCCGCAGGCCAACTCTGGTTCCTATCAGGCTGAATGTGTATTTGTTTGTTGCAGCATTTGTGCGTGTTGTGACTCGCGATCCCTCGCGCAGAACAGACTATGACATCGCGATGTCCTCCTTGCAGATGCACAGCTGCACAGTCAATGCAGTGCAGAAAGGCATCGCCAACCAGGCAGGGCCCTTTCACGCCCTGCATGCCTTTGAAGAAGGTTGGTGAATTTGCCCTTGAAAATCCTTGAAATGGCCCGCTGGAAGGAGAGCAACCATCTGGAGGCGGCTTGCGCATCATTTGTCGTAGTCACGAGGGTGCCTGTTTCTGGCAGGCAGCGAGCCTCGAAGAAGCGTTTGAGCCGTGGATGTACAAACTCTTTGAGCCGCTGTTATGCAAACTATGACTCATAGTGAGCACAGGAACGGCTAAGAAGGTCAACGTGAAAGCATGCTCGGCTCACAGCAACATGAGGCATTGCAGGGCCGCAATCCCAGAAGTCATACAACTATGAGCACAGGAGCAAGATGGTGAGCGTCAGAGATTCCCGACTCACAACAACATGAGACTCCGCTGGACATATCCTTACACTGACACTTGAGAAGTTGAAGCCTGGGGTCCAATGGAAATTGATTCAATTGCCCGGTTTCATCATGACGCAGCTTGAGTCTTTCGATGCACTTGCTGACAGACCTCAAGAATGTCATGATTCGGTTGCTTGCCGACAGTCAATTCTGATTCCAGACCTTTCCTGCACATCAAAACGCGGATCAGCAGAGCATCCCTTTTCAAATCCCTCTCATGCCCCGTGCTCACGTTGACGTTTGGCTGACGTGGTCCTTAGGCCCTGGGACGACCGAAGACAAGTCTTCTTGGAGCAGGCGCGCGAAGACGTAGGCTGCGGAGCCGATGGGTGCTTCATGCCATAGCTCTGACACTGCAGGTGGCTGAGCCTCCTGAAGGAGTGACCCGGATGAACCAGACGCAGTGCAAACCTTTCGGTCGCGTGCTCTTTGAACCAATCAATCAGGTAGAGCCATGGATGCACAAGATCTTTCGGCCTCCTTGCAGCAACCAGCAGGGCCCCCCTGCTAGCTAGCGAACCCAAGCTGGTCCTTCTAAGGTCGACGCGATTTCAAGGCGCGCGTTGCAGAGATTGCTTGGGATGATGGCCGTCAAACCACTTAGCATCGCTAATCTAAGCTGCCCAACGTTGCGACACAGGCATATGGGCCCCGCCGAAACTGGAAGTTAAGGACCATGAAGTGCGCGGAACCGCCGCAATTTTCATCAAGTCGACTCTCGGACACGGCAGGCGCCGGTGAAGGTCTTTGACTTCATGCTGGGGCCCCAGATCGACAAGTTGGTGCGTGATGCATTCATGCAGTATCCTGTATATCCTTTCATCCGCAGGCCGACTCTGGTTCCTATCAGGCTGAATGTGTATTTGTTTGTTGCAGCATTTGTGCGTGTTGTGACTCGCGATCCCTCGCGCAGAACAGACTATGACATCGCGATGTCCTCCTTGCAGATGCACAGCTGCACAGTCAATGCAGTGCAGAAAGGCATCGCCAACCAGGCAGGGCCCTTTGACGCCCTACATGCTACTTTTGATTCTTGACTTTCGTGGACAGCTTTGGTCAGGTGCATGTGCCAATGGAGATGGTGAGTGTTTGGTGCTCAGCCCGGCCAGACAGGATCGCACAGGATTAGTCAGTCTCAGCCCATCTCAGTCATGACAGGTGAGACTCGCGGCGGGAAATACCCTGCTGCATGCAGAGCACGCCGCACAAAGAAGCATTGCACCTTCACATGTCGCTTCAGTGCGTTCATAGGATTGCGACTACTGACATCATGGGTGCCGCCGCTATCCGCAACCGCGCGGTAGAGAAGGGCGGAACAACTTTGCCTGCATCTTACTGCCAAATTCCAGGCATCCAAGCAGGCATGTGCAATTCAATCTCACAGTGCCACCAAGGCTGAATCGAGTCAACAGTGCCCTTCGCGAGGCCAGTCTGGACCAACTTTTGATGCCTGATCTGCTTTATGTTGTGTCGGGCGGGAGATGGATGCACTGGCCGGCGGCCACGCCAAGCTTCGCCTGAAGGCAGGCGTGCACGCCGGAATACGTGTTCAGGGGAAGGGCCCTGTCCTGCATTTCGGGTTAAAAGTCCCGTTGACTTGATGCCAGGTGCACACTGCGACGCACACTGACTTTGCGGGGACCCCGCCGCAGAGCCCCAGAAAAGAGGAGCCATGTGTGGAGGCGAAGAGTTGAAAGTCTAAGATATATGACGCTGAACAAGAAGGCACCTGATGGTGCCTGATTCATCGCCGCTGCCAGGGACAGCGAGGCAGATCGAAGACCGTGAGACTCAAATACAATTCCACCAACGAGGTCCGCCGAAGCCAAAAACTCGATGCGCACCGTTAATGCACCATGAATGGCGGAGGCGATCCTGGCGTGGTTCAGA